GCCCACAATCTCAATCCGTTTAGATCCAGCCCACAATCTCAATCCGTTTAGATCCAGTCCACAATCTCTATCCATTTACATCCAGTGCACAATCTCAATCCTTTTAGATCCAGTCCACAATCTCAATCTGTTTAGATCCAGCCCACAATCTCAATCCGTTTAGATCCAGTCCACAATCTCAATCCGTTTAGATCCAGTCCACAATCTCTATCCATTTACATCCAGTGCACAATCTCAATCCGTTTAGATCCAGCCCACAATCTCAATCCGTTTAGATCCAGTCCACAATCTCTATCCATTTACATCCAGTGCACAATCTCAATCCTTTTAGATCCAGTCCACAATCTCAATCTGTTTAGATCCAGCCCACAATCTCAATCCGTTTAGATCCAGTCCACAATCTCAATCCGTTTAGATCCAGTCCACAATCTCTATCCATTTACATCCAGTGCACAATCTCAATCCGTTTAGATCCAGCCCACAATCTCAATCCGTTTAGATCCAGTCCACAATCTCTATCCATTTACATCCAGTGCACAATCTCAATCCTTTTAGATCCAGTCCACAATCTCAATCTGTTTAGATCCAGCCCACAATCTCAATCCGTTTAGATCCAGTCCACAATCTCAATCCGTTTAGATCCAGTCCACAATCTCTATCCATTTACATCCAGTGCACAATCTCAATCCGTTTAGATCCAGTCCACAATCTCAATCCGTTTAGATCCAGTCCACAATCTCTATCCATTTACATCAGTGCACAATCTCAATCCGTTTAGATCCAGTCCACAATCTCAATCCGTTTAGATCCAGTCCACAATCTCTATCCATTTACATCAGTGCACAATCTCAATCCTTTTAGATCCAGTCCACAATCTCAATCTGTTTAGATCCAGCCCACAATCTCAATCCGTTTAGATCCAGTCCACAATCTCAATCCGTTTAGATCCAGTCCACAATCTCTATCCATTTACATCAGTGCACAATCTCAATCCGTTTAGATCCAGCCCACAATCTCAATCCGTTTAGATCCAGTCCACAATCTCTATCCATTTACATCCAGTGCACAATCTCAATCCGTTTAGATCCAGTCCACAATCTCTATCCATTTACATCCAGTGCACAATCTCAATCCTTTTAGATCCAGCCCACAATCTCAATCCGTTTAGATCCAGCCCACAATCTCAATCCGTTTAGATCCAGTCCACAATCTCTATCCATTTACATCCAGTGCACAATCTCAATCCTTTTAGATCCAGTCCACAATCTCAATCTGTTTAGATCCAGCCCACAATCTCAATCCGTTTAGATCCAGTCCACAATCTCAATCCGTTTAGATCCAGTCCACAATCTCTATCCATTTACATCCAGTGCACAATCTCAATCCGTTTAGATCCAGCCCACAATCTCAATCCGTTTAGATCCAGTCCACAATCTCTATCCATTTACATCCAGTGCACAATCTCAATCCTTTTAGATCCAGTCCACAATCTCAATCTGTTTAGATCCAGCCCACAATCTCAATCCGTTTAGATCCAGTCCACAATCTCAATCCGTTTAGATCCAGTCCACAATCTCTATCCATTTACATCCAGTGCACAATCTCAATCCGTTTAGATCCAGCCCACAATCTCAATCCGTTTAGATCCAGTCCACAATCTCTATCCATTTACATCCAGTGCACAATCTCAATCCTTTTAGATCCAGTCCACAATCTCAATCTGTTTAGATCCAGCCCACAATCTCAATCCGTTTAGATCCAGCCCACAATCTTAATCCGTTTAGATCCAGTCCACAATCCAATCACAGATATTAATTATGTTAATTAATAATAAAATGCATTATAAAGTACATTATGTTCACGATTTTAATATTAAAAATTTACAAATTCAAATGCTTTTGTTGTTTACCTACAGCGAAATTGTTATGTGTTATTTTAAAAAACCCAATCCATTTAGATCCAGTCCACAATCCAATCACAGATATTAATATTATAATTTATTGTACACTTTCTTTTCAGATATTTTAGGTTTAATTTGGTATTAGTGAAATTAAAGACAATGATTTATAATCATAATAATAATCTTTTCGGAACTTCTTCTGTTTCCATGGAACTCTGGTGAAGAATTCCTGCAGCACTAGATTTTATATTACATGTCAAAGTTAATTTCAGTCAAATATTAATTTAACTAGATTTTTTATGTTAAAACATACAAAAAAGCTCATTTATGCATTTATATTAACTTCAATTACTATTTTATAATATTCAAATTTATTAAATATAAATATAATTGTAATTTAACAAGACGGAAACTCATTCTGTTTATTTAATATGACGTAAAATGCAATTTCATTTAATTTGTTTTAAATAGCTATGTATATTATTTTGTGTATACAATTATTTTTAATAAAAAAATTCTTAAAATAATTGGTTTTTTACGTTTTTTTTAAAATAATTTCATTTAATTTTTTTAAGATTTCATTATTACATGCAAAAAAAAAAAAATCATACATATTAAGATATTTTAAAGTGAAGAATAGAAGAAGAGAGTATAAAATAAGAGATATAATTTTCTAATACTTTACTTATAGAAAAGATATTACTAGATATATTAGTTACAAGAAGAGAAGGCCAACGGCCGTACCATGCTGAATATACCGGTTCTCGTTAGATCACCGAAGTTAAGCATCATTGGGCGCGGTCAGTACTTGGGTGGGTGACCACCTGGGAACACTGCGTGCCGTTGGCAAATTTGGGACCTGAATGGCCGAGTGTTTAGCGCTCTGGCGCTCGGTGCCACAGGTTTCGGGTTCGAATCCCGGCGGTGCCATGGATATGTTTGTAGTGGTTCGGAATCCACTTTAAGCCGTAGGTCCCGGTCTTCTATGACTGTGAGAGCGTCACGGAGCAAAAGTCAGGCTTCTACCTACGGGTGCTCCATCACAACAGAAGCTGCTTCCTTCCCCTTCAATCATGAGTCCATATGGGCTCGTGGGCTTGGCCAGCCAAGGGGGATAAGAAACAACAACAACAACACAAGAAGAGAAATAATATTACAATAAAAAATGAAACTTAAAACAATACTTTAACATAACATTAATCAAATAGAGAATTTTGCAGTTGATTGCGTTTTTGATGAAAAATACGAATTTATTCTAAAATTGAATATTTATTTTATAACCGAGACATACATTAATTTTACTATTAAGCATTCAGTTTTCATTTGAACTGTACCTAATGTCTTTTCTTTTCATCAGAATATGAAAAATATTTTAATAATATGAAAGTGAAAAGACATAGTTATCGGAAATTCGAAGGAAAAAACTTAGAATGAGAGAAAAATTATTTTAATGGTTTTATTCTCTTTTTAAAAAGAGAAAAAAAAAAATAATGATTTAACGATTATGCTTTTCATGCACTTTCGTTGAGTCAAAATGAGGGAAATTTACAAAATACTTTCCAATTTCTGTCTGACAAATGTGTTTGACCATTCCTGCATTTCTAAGGAATTCTCTCTAATTTAAACAATTTGACTTTTTTGTGTAAATCCAGCAAAATTTTGAAAATGAAAGGACTATTATTAAAATACGTTGCAACCAGACATTTTTTGGTATTTATTCCTGTACTTAAATAACGAGGAATCTCAGCATTTTAAAATTGGTACTCCACTATAATCAGTGGGATATTATATTTTACTTTGATAAGCTTTATGTCAAAAATGATAACAGTTTAAGATAAGTTCTCCTAAATAGACATACGTAATCTTTAGCTCAGTGACTTATATATGAAAGTAAAATGTTCTATTAATAAATATACAAAAATTAATATTTATTGATTTATTTTAGAATAAATGAAACAAAATTAATAAAAAAATTATTGTTATTCTTTACTATTAAATTACTATTAATAGTAAAGAATAAAGATAATTTTTATTAAATTGTTAATAATTACTATTAAATTGTTTAGAATTAACTTTTTAGACTATTAACTGTTTTGTAGCTATTTCGAACACTCTCAACATTATTATTCTTTAGAATTTCTTATGTTTATTCTTTACACCGAAAACTATTAAACTGTTTAAGTATATTAACCGTTTAAACTATTAACTGTTTTGTAGCTGTTAACTATAAACTAGCTTTTCCTATAAATTTCTATTCCTAGCAAATTATCCCTATTATTAGCCTATTATTATTATTATTATTATTATGAGGTGTCATAGGTGCAGACTTCATTTGCTTTCTTTTTTTTTTTAGTTCATTCGTATTTTTTTTTATCTAGTATGGATGCTAACATCAGGTCGCATCAAACTGGTACTATTGAGGACTTTCTAAAAAGTGAAGACATTGCTAGAATAGATAGGCTAGGGTTCCCCTGTTTTAAATTACAATATGTGTGGAATGCTTTGGGGAGACCAAAGGACCACGCATATTTTGGGGCACCATTATATTGCCAACAACTGAAACAGATGCTCACTGAGGAATGGACATTCATACCTTAGTAACTGTTGGGTAATCTGACATCGAGAACGGTGGCAAGCAAACATTGCAATCAAGGGACATAAACACCTTACTATAGGACATTTGCCATTTGTTTCTTCATTTTCAGAAGACAAGCATTGTATCAACAAATCCCTTTTTTTTTGGGGGGTACATTTTTGTATGCGTTGACATCCTTTTTGAAATAGAATGCTCTTTTCATTCTTGTTGTTGTTTGTTGTTTCTTATCCCACTTGGCTAGCCAAGCCCACGAGCCCATACGTACTCATGATTGAAGGGGAAGGAAGCAGCTTCTGTTGTGATGGAGCACCCGTAGGTAGAAGTCTGACTTTGGCTCCGTGACGCTCTTACAGTCATAGGAGACCGGGATCTACGGCTTAAAGTGGATTCCGAACCACTACAAACATCCATGGCACCGCCGGGATTCGAACCCAAAACCTGCGGCACCGAGGCGCCAGAGCACTAGAGAGTCGGCCATTCAGGTCCCAAATTTGTGAATGCCAACGGCACGCGGTGTTCGCACCACAAACCACTGAACCCACCCAAGTACTGACCGCGCCCAATGATGCTTAACTTCGGTGATCTAACGGGAACCGGTATATTCAGCATGGTATGGCCGTTGGCTTCTTTTCATTCTTTAAATGCAAAATATTATCTATCTAAGAAGTATTTTTGGATACCACAGGTTTCAGATTCGAATCTTGGCTGTGACATGAATGCTTGTTACAGGTTCGGAATCCTTGTTAAACTGTAGGTATCAGTCTAATTAGCCTAAAGCGTGCACAAAATAGATCGTAGAACGACAAACCCAACACAGGTGAATTTTAACTGAACTATGGTAATAATAATAATAATAGTAAAATCTTTCTCATCATCTTAATTAGTGGCGCAATAGCCCCATGGTGGGCCAAGTTCTACTGTCAGATTTCGAGACAGATGTTATCTTTTTACGGGATAGGGTTATCAGCCTTATGCCCAACGCTCTACGATCATATCAAACCGGAATCAACAGTTTAAAGTGGATTCCGAACCACTATAAACATCCATGACACCGCCGGGACTCGAACCCGAAACCTGTGGTACCGAGCGGCAGAGCGCTACCCACTCGGTCATTCAGACCCACACATAAATTATACAACCACTAAACATAAATTGTATAATAATTATAGGAAATTTTACCTTAATAAAAAAAATATATTAACACCCATATAAACCACTGCTTCATATTTGCAATCATTGTAAATTACGAATTAAATAAATACACGTTAATAAGTTAATAAATTTTCACTACTTCATTAAATTTCTAAAATGATTAATACTTCAAAAAACAATTTGGCAATTTTTTTTAGCTTATTTTAGCAATTATATAAACAAAAGAAATTAAGAGAGCAATTTAGCTTAACAATTGTCCTTTCGAATTAATACTATTCGGGTTAAATTTTTTTTTTCTGAAATAAAAAACACTAATACACTTTACCAAAAAATAATATTTATTTTCTAATTATAAATTAAAAAATAGATTTTAATTTTTTATAAATAATAATAAGAAATAATAAGAATGAAAATAATAATAAGAAAAATGAATAAAATTCCAATGATAAACAAACGTATATAAAAAACATATGACATATAAATTTTTTTTCATTAAGACCTAAAAGTATTTTTAAAGACGCTGAAAAATAATTTAGAAAAAAATATAAAATCCATTTTAATAGAAACCTCATGATGATAATTGGAAATAGCTTTCAAATCAACATTAATAAAAACATCAATTGATAAAAAATAACTTTTTTTAAAAATTAGAAATACGTATTGCCTGTAAAAAAACTAAATTCTTCTTAATGTAAAAATTCATTTTTAACTGAACTAAAAAATGAATTTTTACATTAAAGTATCTTTAAAGGCGTTTTTTTAAACGTGTCTTTTTCAATTTTGCAACATGTTAATTTATTAATGCATTTTTTATCAAATAACTTTTTTTTATTTTTACTAATTAATCCAAGTCTTTATTTTAAAATAAAAATTTTATTAAGAATTTTTTGGCATAAAAAATATTTTAAAACTATTAATTATTTTTTAGAAATAGATTGCTGTTCCCTTCAATTTTTACATTCAATATAGTATAAAGCTTTATATTTTAATTTTTTATTATACTAATCAGACATTTTTCTCTTTAAAAGAAACTTGAATATATATAAATTGGTTATTTATATAGATGTTAATTATCTTGATCTTTACTAAAAAATAATAATTTTCAAACATTCTCATGTTTTTCGATCATTATCACATTTTAACTAAATAAGACAAAAACATGAGTTATCAAACATAAAATATTCTCAATTTTCTGGTAAACAATAATTTAAAGATGGAATAAAATGTTTAAATTCCTGCATGACAATGTATTCTCTATTCAAAATTTATTCCAAATAAAAACTAATTTTCAAAGAATTTATAACTTCTTAAATAAGCAATCTGGTAGTCTTTTTTCATATAAATTAATTATACAAATTAATTATACAATGCAACCGTGCTTTCTCCTACTCACTGACAAAAGCGCCCCCTGTGGCACTTATGAGAAATGGTCAATAGGCCTCGAGACTCTCACAAAAAAAGAACCTGCGCTCCTGCTGATAAACGTTTAGTTCATAGTTTCTTAATCCGAGTAGAAATATATTTAACGCCACCCTGCGTAATAGTTGAACTACAAACTCTCACTCGTATAGGAAGTATATTTCGCGCATCCTGCGCGTAGCTGAATATAGTAAGTGAAAATATAAAAGTAGCTGAATAGCTATGCACGTAAAACTCCCATGGTGGCGAAACGATGAATGGATGAGGAATTAGACTATTTTCAATGACTGAATAAATTGAAATAAACAGAATTTATTTTCTAACATGAAAAGAAATTCAGTTTATTCGAAATATTGCAATACTGTTTCTTAAAAATAAATATATATATATATATATATTTTTTTTTACATTTCTAAAAGAATATTTTATAACGCTAAAAAAATGTCACAAAAGTTTTCACTTTTGATTTAGCCTCATATAAATGTCAACTTTATACCAATATTTAATAGCATTTTACAAATATTTTTTTCGAACTACGCTACATTACATTACATCTTACTGCATTAAATAAAATCATTCCCTTATAATATTCAACCTTTTTATCTACCATTTTTTTGTGTGTGTAATTAGAACATTTCCATGATTAATGACGAAGGAAGCATATTTATTAGAAATCCGCACATTAATTATTAATTTGTACACAGAGAAAACTGTGGTACTAAAAAAATCTCCAAGCAGCTATCTGATATCATCGTTAATGATACCATCGTTTTTTACACCATGAGATATTAGAAAACGCATTATATAATCAGTAGTAAATTAAGAATTCGGATGCCAAAGAATAAAAAAAAACCTATCTCATGAGATGGAACGAATCTTTATTCGAAAAATAAAAGAACCAAAATTGTAAGTATAAAACTTACAACAGAATTGCAAGATTGTTATGTATTGTACAAATCCAAAATCTTCAAAGAATAATTAGATCAGCTAATTTCCATGCACAAATTGTAAGTAATTCTGCGCTGTTGTAAAGAATTGGAGATTTATTTAATATACCAGAAACATAAAAAAATGCTTTCTTACAGTGTTATAATTGCTCAGGAAATTTTTTTTATACATTTGGATTTGAAAATCGCGTATTAATTTAATGAACATTTTTTGTTCTAATGCAGCAGTCAATACAGAGACAATTGTCTTTGACGCCTTAAGGCAAGCGCTGCACCGACGTTACTCACTTAGCACTACCCAGGAGGTGCGGTCGGACGCGGAGTAACAACGCCCCTGCAACAATCTACGATCCTGTTAGACCAGGACCTGCAGTTTAAAGTAGATTCCTAATCTCTATAAACATCCATGGCACCGGCGGCACTCGAACCCGAAACCTGTGGTACCGAGCGCCAGAGCGCCAGCCATTCGGCCATCGGACCCCAATTTATTGAACATCGAAAGAATTAAAAACAGAACTTATTTCCATTTGGTAGACATAACAATGAATGGATTGTCGCTCTATGATCATGTTGTGCACACTTTAGGCTAATTAGACCGGGACATAGGAGTATAGTTTAAAGTGGATTCCGATCCACTAACAAATATCCATGTCACTGCCAGGATTCAAATCTGACGCTTGTGGTAGCCAATTGGCCATCCGGCTGTCAAGTCTCTCAGGTTTGGGTTATACAACGGTTATTTTTACATACTTTACACTAATTAGACTGGGACATATAGTTTCAAGTGGATTAAGAACCACTCACAAACATCCATGCCCTCGCCAGGATTCGAACCTGAAGCACCAAAGGTCAGAGAGCTAGCCAATTGGCCATCAAGCCCCTGACATGGAAATAAAGAAATTTTGGTGTCGATGTGTATATGACCGCATGGATTATGTAAGTTTAAATTTGTTGATGGCACCATGAAGTATTATGGCATTATGACACCTTAAAATAAATTTGAAAATCCTAAGGCAAACAAATCTTCTGAATAATGTCAAGTTCTATTAAGATGACCTGGTTCATGGCGTATTGGATTTCCAAGCCAAGATTCCGTGTCCTAGTGTAAAGTTCCCTCCAGATGAGGTTTAGTTTGTCGCTCTACAGTCATCTTGCGCACACGAGGGCTAAAAAGACAGTTTAAAGTGGATTTCGATTCATTACTACTGCAACACGACACCACATCACTGCGCCTAGAGCTGAGTTGCCCGTTTACAATTTGGAAATGATGTGGGTGAGAAGGGGTTATGTGATCTCTATGGTCATATGGGACCGGGACCTACAGCTTAAAGTGGATTCCGAACCCCTACCAAACATCAATTCCGCCACCGGTATTCAAACACAAAACCTGTGGTACCGAGCGATAGTTACCCGGCCGCCCAAAGCCAGTGGCCAATAAAAATATTCATCATCATCAATGCCGCATCAGCCTCATAGTGGACCAAGGCCCCTTGTGTACTAGTAGATTTTGAGACAAGAAATGCCCCTTTTCTGAGGCATAGAAGTGTCCGCCCTGCAGCCTACAGTCATATTAGACAACATATTAGACATACGGTTTAAAGTGGATTCCGAACTACTACAAACATCCATGGCATCGAACTCCAGAGCCCTAGTCACTCGGATATCAGCCCTACAACAGTATATATACCAGATGTGACAAAATCAAAGATATTTCTGTTGTTGTAGTTACTAATCTCCCAGGTTCAGGAAATCCTACACCAGGTCCAAAAGGGCCCTATCGCAGGCGACTGGTCCATGGCCAAGGGTAATATGCAGCTTCACTTTAGCGAGGGACCACGAAGGGCTGAAGTCTGACTAAACCTCAAGACAACGCTCTTACAGTCATACGAGACCGGGACCTACGGTTTAAAGTGCATTCCGAACCACTATAAACATCGATGGCACCACCGGGACTCGATCTCGAAACTTGTTTCATTAAACATCAATGTGCTAGTCACTCGGCTATCAATATTAATTGATTTAAGCAATATTAATAGCCCTCAATATTAGTTAATAATCAATAATAATTGATTTATTCAGAATTCTTTTTCAATTCCGACTACT